ATCTTAGGGGTAAAAGATGCAAGGGAACAAAATCATTGTGGGGCATTATTTTAAATTTCTTATGGACCCCCAAGCTATGGTCCATATATCAAAAAGGTCCATAAACTTGAACATTACACAAATATCAACTATTTGCGATTATAACTTTGTGTCACTCTCAACCTTGTGAGATTAGCTCAACTGACAATAAGGTTTGGACCTCTACAGAGAATCCTCAGATGTAACCGGTTCGAGTCATGCAAGGTTACTAGGAACTTTCTTAACTATTTTTCAGGGGCCCAGGAAGATCAGTCAAGTATGCTCAAACTGACTCGAACATCCACGATTAACAGGAAAAAGAAACTATTCGCTCAGATACCCATAAGGGAATGTTTGCTTTCGAGATATGGTTTGCCAAATCCCCACTTCAGAAGATAAACTAATTTATTATCCTTTCAAGACATTTTCTTAAACTTAATTTAAAACCTTATCATGAATTAACTTTCTTTTCTTTTTTGTTTGTTAGAAAAAGAGGATATATGTTGTGGATAACGATAAAGAGCGGATTCTATGATATTCTATATTATAATTTAGACATTGACATGTCAAAGTATTTGTATAAAATATATATATATATATATATATATATATCAGCTTTTAAACTTAAAATGCTTTTTATATTATTGGTTTATAAAAATTAATTAAAAAGCATTATTTTTACTAGATAATGATATATTTTATGTAAAACAAGTAGAAAAGATTGAAACATTGAGTGAACGGAAGTAATATCATGGCAGTAACTGTTGTGAGGCTGGACCATTGATTTCTAAAATTCACTCGTTTGATACGAAAAACGTCCTTAACGATGGTCCTGATATATGTAGTGTAAAGAGTCGGTGTCAGTTGGGATACTTTAGTAACCATTAACATGTTTTGACGTTTTTTCTGGTAACAATAATTGTTATTAAAACGCCATATGAATTGACCAATGGCATGTCGATATCCACAAGTCCATATTCTTTGTGCTAATAATATCTTCATAGCATTCTACGATGATTAGACTTGTGTGGAAGACATCCCACGAAGAATCTAATACAAAATCCTTTGATTTTAAACTTTTTGGTACACCAAATCTTTCTCTTCCATATAATTCAAGATAAGGTTAAAAGGGGTATGATATTAGCAACTTTATACAACGTTGATCGAGACGGACATTGTAAAGAGCGTACAAAATCTGAAAAACAAACATTAAAAAATGGAAATTATATCATTAAATTCATATAAAAATTTAAAATAGAAGATGATTGTTTTTATTATTGTTCATTACTTGGTCAGTGTTTAAGGTTCAGGTTTGATCATGGTCTTGGTTAATACTGATTTTGTTGCATTGTATGTTACTCCATCTTTATAGTATGAACTAGTGTTTGACATTGCGCGTTGCGCAATGACGATAGTTTTTTTGAAATTATTGAAGTTAGCTAAATGAATCGATGATCACATTTATATATTAAATTAATAAGAATCAGTATTACCTTTGATATATGAATCTACCCACCTCATTTTGATTATCCATATATTTCATACGAATTTTACAAAAAAACAAATTAACCCCAAATACAATGTAAACAACCTTGAAAACACACTGTTTCGAGCCAATTAGAGTCATAACTGACTTTCAACCCTTCATGAAAGTGGTTGCAAGATACGAGCTTATTACAACTTACAGTTTGTGAGTTATACATTGGCAAAGTACGAGAGCAGCACTGTCGATAAAATCCAATTTCACAATTTCTTAACTAATTTTTATGATCCCAACTTCACGTATTCAATCAAACGGGTATTTTTCTCCCCGACTACGAGTCCCATACTACCCTCCATAAACTGAAAATCCATAACCCCAATTGCTACGGTAATACCTTTTAGTTGTCTTATGTTTGTTTGAACAACCTCGGTTAATCTTGTCTTTCTTATTATGTTGTACTAAAAAATGATTGAAACTCGTGTTTTTGGTCATTTAGTAAATATA